GTCTGTGTGTGTCTGTGTGTATGTGTGTATATATATATATGTATGTATGTATGTATTGGCAAGTTTGAGTCTTCTATTTGCTACCTTCTGAGCTGTCTTAGGGAAGGTTCCCTGGAAATAGGTTCAGATATGAAGCTATGCATCTAAGAATTTCACTGGAGTGTCCTCTCAGGATCAACATCTGTTTGGTATAGAAGCAGAATGGGGCAGAGGGGGAAGTTGAACTTCAGTGTAGTTGCCAAAGAGCCTCAGTATGGGGAGTTTTGAGAGGGGTAGCTTTTCAATGTAGTCCCTAGGTGATGCAAGGGGATCTTTTTAATGCCCTCCCCCCGACCCTTTATGGCTCTGAGCAGTCATTGGAGTGGACTGCCTCCAAGAAGAGAGCATAATGTTAGATGAGGCAGCTCTCTAGCTGGGGACACTCCTGGAGAGGCACTGAGCTGAGGGCTGTCAGCATCAACATTTCCAACTGTTCAGAGAATGCATGCTCCAGTCCTAGTCCAGCACCACATCCACTACAGGGGCTCACAGATAAGACAAGAAATACCAACTAGATAACATTAGGGGAGGAGAGAGTCAATCCAACCACATTAAGGCACATGATAACATATAGATAACTCCCATCCCTTTCATACCCTACCCACATTTGAGTACTCTATGTCTGGCCCCAAAGTTTTCTTGTCAACCTGATCATATGATTCCGGAAAAGTGCCTTAAAATTTCAAAGCAATTCTTATCCATTATTTCATTTGCTCTGTACAGTAGACATATGAAGTAGGAAGGGCAGCTATTAGGATCCTTAATTCACAGGTGAGGAAATTAAAACACAGAGATCAATAACTTATCTAACATCGTATGCAATTAAGGACCAGGAGCTGAAATCTCAGGTTTATGGTTTGGTGCTGACAGCAGAATGTAGCTACAAGGACTGAGGCAGGTTGCGGCTTTCCAAAGAAAATGGCTCTCCCACACTGGGCTCTGCATCATTCCTTAGCAACGGCTTCCTTATGCTTCTTTGGAAATAATTCAAGAAAGTTCCTTTTATGGAAGCCATGTTCTCTGCTAACAACAAAGATTAAATAGGGCAAGAAAGAGGATGATAATAATTCTCATAATGCATCTCAGGAGGGTTTCCTATTTAGTCTCAAGGAGAGAATCAAGCTGAATGTTTATAAAGTTCTGTATATTTTCACTTTGTCTGTGCATGTGTCTTACAATACGGAGAAAGTACGCAATTAGAAAAATCCCCTCAAAAATGTCAGAAGTTGCCACGAGATTTCAAAGTTCCAGACTTTGATCAATTCGAGAAATATAACAGTAATCCTTGCTGGTAGTATTATCAGAAGCCTGCAGATGAAGATAGTTTCTAAGAAAACCTATTTGCTTTCATCACTGTGAGTCCCCAGCGTCCCTCTCTAGGTAGTCGTTCTGACAGTCAAAGATATAACAGCATGTCGTCTAATAAAGAGGTCTATATTTATATTCTTTAGCACCAGAGAATGTTCAAAATGCATAGATTTTTTTCTTCCTTTTAAATCGTTTGCTAGGTTTTAGAAAAGTTGAGCCATTGACAATGCTATTTCCCAAATTGCAGGTGCTTGCCGTAAAACATGTAAACTTGCTTTGATCATACAATGGAATCTTAGTAGCAAATGAGCCTCAATGGCAAAGTAAACAGACTTCTCTTTCTTTCTCATTTGCGGGTGCTAGGATGAAAGTACACCCGTAAGCAACCATAGGCTTGCTCTGACAATGCTCATCAAAATAGTGAAGTCCTTGGGTTGTGCCTATGGTTGCGGGGAAGGACACCGGGGGCTCTCTGGAGATCGTCTGAGACACCAGGTATTCCGAGAGAATGTAAGAGAAGTAAAGTAGATTCCATTTCCTCTCCCTCTTCCTTCCCTCCAGTTTAAGAATGAGTCCTTTGACAATGAGGGTCAGTGTTCCCTGAGAAACATTGTTATTTCATAGTGGTAATTAATACTGTCTTGTGGTGGGGATATTCCCACCAGATATCTCAAGACATCTAAAACCCAGGCTCAGGAAAGTTTAATCAGGAAAACAATTCTGCCTCCTGCCTAAAGCAGGCTCACTCTCAATCGGTGAAAGAATTATGTAATTGGAATATGTGGATTGCAGCTTGAAAGAACTTTGCACAGATGTATACATTTAGAAAGCTTCTGATGGCCTATGACAAATGACTTTTTAATCATCTGCCTGGGTGCTGTAGAAACATATTTCATATTAGAGAAAGGAGTCAAAGTTTAGGACTTGGTTTGTTGTTCTTACTTAGATATGGAAAATGGCCCTTATTGGGACAAAACAGGACTGTAAAAGTAGCCAGTCATTTTCTGGCTTCTTTGAGAATGAACCTTGTGTTCTGCATATTTGAGATCATATCCCTTTGAATTGTGTGAAACTTGAAACTCTGCCCTTGGACTTGCCAAGCATAATTCTGTAATGCAACATGGTCTTACTCCAGTTCATTTTCATTTGCATACGCTGACTGCTACTTTTCCCTTCCAATGTGAACAATAACCCACCTCCACCTCCACAGCAAGTCTGAGCTGGGATCATTGCCTCACACATACGTTGGAATTGATATAATATTTCTCTTAAAAATAAGGGCTTGATGCAAATTTGAGTCCCAGAAACCCTCTGGCATATCTTGGCAGAGTTTTAGGATCATGTCAAAATCTAATGCTAGTTCATTTTTCCTTGGTGTTAGATTTTGTCATGAAATGTTCACACAGTATTAGCATGCTGGACTTCTTGCTTAATGTATCACCTGTCATCTCTCTATCTGTCCATCTATCTATGCTTCTCTTTTTCTCTCTTTTACATTTTATTATGTTGTATTATTTTAGTTTATTATGTGTACGTGGGGGTTATAGCCACAGTGATTGACTTCTAAATTCTTAAACTTGAAATTTTTGACCAAGATCTAGATTTTGAGGCCAAAAATAAAATAATAATAATAAGGCAATAGAAAGCTGACATAGTCCCCATCTTTATACTATATAATAGAATTTTTGATTTTATTACAGTAATTTATTACAATAAATGCCTTCAAAGACAAAGAAACTATATCACTCCCCATGCAGAAGACCGATTTCATGAAATGAAAAGCTAAAACATGATAAAAAGTGTCATGGTTTGGTTGGAGGTATAAACTGGCTCTGACAACCAAAACCGATCTCTCTGGATTCACAGAAAGCAGGGCTAATTGGATCAGAAGCTACTTGAAAAGTTGCTGTTATCACCTAGTTCACCATGCTTTCCTCCCCAAGAGTACTGAATACTTCCTGTTAGGGTATCCAGCCAGTTTTTGACCTGCCTTCTAAACTTGATTTATGGGATACTTCCTCTGTTATCTTACATTAATAGTTCCATTCAATGTTCATTATAGACATTATATTTGTTTATTCCTGTTCAGTAAACACATTGCCCAGGACATGTAAATTTGAGAAATTTTCCCTAGAAAATGTCCAATTCAAGAAGCTAAATATTTCCAGATTTTGCTACCATTGGGTTTCCAGAAGTTACTTAACTTTTAAAATATAAAGACTATTTCTCACCTGTACCAGATCAGATCCTCTCAATTTTTTTTTTAAGAAACAGAAGGTTACTATAATGAGATTCATCAAAGTGCCTAGAAATTCCATCATATAATCCCTTATTGCTTAGATTATTAGTCTGATCATTAGCTGGTGGTCCCCAATTATTAAAAAGGAATGTATTCCTTAATAGTTTTACATCTCTTAAAGAAGTTTAAGATATACATTCAGAATTGAAATATTTAGATATTCTTATGCTTGCTTAAACTTCCCATTGAATTCACATAGACCATACAGGCATCTTAATAGCTTCTAAAGAGAAGCTATGCCTTGTTGGTGTATTTTATAGAGAACATAGAAAAATTTGTACTTTGGGGCTTTCTAACCCAAGGTTTTAAAGTGATTAGTAAATATTACAATGAAGATCTTCACAAAATCTTTGTGGAATAATAATGAGATACTTCTTCATGCAGAACATATTTTACCTATGTGCTTTGCAAACTTCATTTTATAGCAAGTAGCATTTACTTTGTGAGAAAAAAAAATGAGCTTGCTCAAGATCTGGCAACTAGCAAACTCTCTGGGAATAAAAATACCTGATTTCAAATCTTCTAGAACATAATAAAGGAAGAATGAAAAAAAATATTCAACCGACTTTGTGATACAGATGGAAAGGTTATAACAAGGTCATACGAAGAAGCTTATTGCTAATTCCAACTTTCAGCCTTTTATAATCTTTTTTTTTTTCTCTCAAAATTTCAAAGAATTTTTCCTTGGGCCTTGATTTGTCAAAATGGTGATGTAGCTTCAGTTTTCTTCTGGGTCACCATTAAGGGCCCCGATAAGATCCCAGTTCTCAGGGTTTGCCCTCTCTAATCTGACTTCCATGCCTATACCTGGTTTTCCAACATTCTCCATCTTCAGCTAAGGTGGCCCTCACTCAGCCACCCCTCCTCTCTTGATCCTTATCCCTTTTCCCTCAACCCAAAGACTGCCGTCACTTCCCCATTTCATTGCATTGGATGAACTTTCTTCTCTCTCTTTTATTCGGATGTAGTGGCATGCTTCTTCCCATTGCACAAAGCCTTTGAGGTTTTCTAAAGGTGGATTGCCAATACTATCACTTACCTAAATTTCATGCTTTGAGTTTTTTTCATTAAGATCTTAAAATCTTGATCTTGGTGAAAATACTGAGCCAGCATTAAACCTTACCTTTGGGTTTTTCCTGAGGAGTAGCTCTTCTCACTGTAAACTCCCTCAGACTCCTCAGTCTTTCTCTGCCCACTCTACTGAGACAAGAGGGGCTAGCAGTATTGTCTGGCACTGGCCAGCGGGGGTGGGTGGAAAGCCCTTGCCTTCTGAAGGCTTCTGTCTCAGACTAACGGTATCCGTAGCTTAAGCTGGTACTTGTGACTTTTTCACTTTTCTTCCTTCATTGCAGGCTCAGAACTGCCTCACTAAGCTATACAAGCTAGATAAGATGCAGTTCCGACAAACCATGAGGGACTATGTGAACAAGGACTCTCTCAATAATGTAGTGGACTTCTTGCATGCTTTGCTAGGATTTTGTATGGAGCCGGTCACCGACAGTAAGTAAAGCCGCACCTGAGTTCTAGGAGAAGTCGCTTTGAAGTGAAGCAGGTAGTGTTTCAGGGGCACACTTACTTGGTGGAGATAGAATTCGGAGGAGAAGATACACGTGTGTACGTACGGTGTGTGTCTAATGGAGCACAAACAAGAAAAACTTGCACATCGTCTTTGATGACACAGTTTAGAAGCTTTCTGAGGACAACTTACCTCAGTGAATAAAAATTTGGTAAACCTGTGGCATCCTCACTTAGCCCGTCAATTTTTACACTGCCACTCATGGGACTCCTCTTGCTCATAAGACCTTCTGTTGTGTGACAACTGAGGCAATGATCATGTTCATTAGTTCAACAGCAATGAAACGAGAACCGAATTAAGCGCCTTGGCAATTTTTTCACAAAATAAAACAGGGAAAAAAAACACGATTACAGTAAATATAGTAGTAACACAATTTCAACATACACATATACACATACATATATAAATACATAATTTTTTAAAACGAGGCAAATGGATCCATAGATAGGCCCACAAACTATTTTATAACTTTATGGCTTAAAGAAAACTCCAGTGTGGAGACCTAAGTTATAGGGAGATCAGTGAATGCTGGTTGCATTCATAATAAACTGAACACCTCCAAGTACCATTTGAATGCAAATGCAGTAATGCAATGAAAGTGATGCACGAAGCCTGAGTTGAATAAAGTATGCATTTTAATTAGTGTCTGAGAAGAATAACATCTTAGTGTAAGCTTTTATTATTCATGTAATACATGTATGATAGTAGTTGATTAATTTTAAATAAAGATATATTTGATGGATTTAGAAGCAGTTTTCCTGGCTGTATCCTAGGCTTTATGGTCTGGTCATTATGTTAAAAGAAAATATTGCTTCACTCTAGAACCCCTGAAACAATCTATGTTATCAGAGTTGTTTTAAGCCAAGCACATTATAAATTTAAAACACAATGAAGTGAGGATAATAGCAGAGACACTGCAAGAGAAGCTCTTATTATAAACTTTTTTTCTCTTTTGTAAGCTATTTGAAATAGAAACTATGGGCATAAGTAGAATATCTCTTTCACTAATGCAAAATCTAAAGATAATCCCCATCAATTGGCACAGGCAGTGAGGGGTTGGTAATAAAGTACATTATTTTAAGATGAAATGGAAGGTGTGTGGAAGTAGATCACAATGGATCAGCCTAGCAGACACAGGTCCCTACCTGATCAATCTTGGAGTTGCACATTCCCTTCCCCACAGTCCACAGGTGGCTCACAGACCATGAGGAATCCTCTGGCAAGGCCACAGAATACCTGTGTGCCCCTATCAAAGATCCCTGGATATGTGAAAAACTGTCATAAAATGCCATGGAAGTTGATGGCTTCAATTCACTGGCATTTCACATGTGTGTGAATTAAAAGGAGGTGGCCCTTAGGGAGGCCGTAGCTTTTCCCCTCTATAAGCCCAGGAAGCGTCTGGGAGTGCTCTGTAGTTCTTGAAAGGACTCAGTGTTTTCTGGTGACTGCATGACTTCCCCTGCAGGGCTCCTCCCTGCCTCTTCCTTCTCCCTGCCCAGCTCACCTGGTCGGCCCCACCCCATTCCCTTTCCAACAGACTGAACGATTTTTATTGAGAAGTATGCATTCCTCACCATCAAACAGGTTGAATCAAGTTAACTCTCTCTCCACTGAGGGGGTAGTTAGTAGATCTTTTCTTTACTTTTTTTTCCAGTGATCACCTATTTAAAAACTACTGTAAGCTTAAAACTCTTCCTTAAAGGTAACAGTTGATTCCTTTTCCTTTGCTAAGATTTATCAATTGAAGCATTCCACAAATGCATTGATTATGTCCTCGTAAGAACTCTGAAGGAGACCATGATTCCTTTATTTCCAAGTCTGCATAGACGTTATTAAACCAGGGGTGTCTTTAATTCTCTGTTTCTGTATTTCATGTAGCCCTCCCCTAATTCCTGGGTACCAAGTACTTCCTTACTCCTTTCGATAATGGAGCTTAATTGCTTATAATTTGTGCCCTTGCATTCCAGACAAGGCCGGGTTTGGAAATAACTTCACCACGGTGGACAACAAATCCACAGCCCAAAATGTGGAAGGTATTATCGTCAGTGCCATGTTTAAATCTCTCATCACACGCTGCGCTTCAACCACACACGAACTGCACAGCCCTGAGAATCTGGTGAGAAGCTCTCCTCTTCTTCCCACAGGAGTTTTCGGTCTCTGCTCTGAGAAAAGTTCTCATGTCATGGCCATGAAGAAGAAAAGTTGAAGTCTAAAAGTTTACACTTTAAAGTTGAAATATCTATTTTCCCCAGTCTCATCAGTAAGTCACAAAATGGAGCCTCAGCAATGCTTTTCTCCTACTTGTTACTCAGCGTTCTATCTGCAAGTTGACTTATCTTCCTCTTCTGTCTCAAAGGTTATGTAGTGTTTGGTGAAATAGTTGCAAGGTATTTCGAGCTCTTCAGAAAGAAGGTACTGGAGCACAGTTTGTTGGTTCATAAAATATTAAAGAATGTTACACCAACCATGATTTGAAACCATATTTACTTTAAAAATTAATGCAAATATGTTGCTGAAATTGGTTTTGTTTTCTTTCATTGAGCACTGTAATCTTTTAGCTACTCTTCTTAGAAGACTGTGTTAATTAAACCACTGAAGTCACAAGTAGCATGAGGGAGAACCAGGCTTTAAAAGTTGGTGCATGATTGTTACCAAGAATATTATGGTTTGAATACAAAATGTAGATTAGGGGTGACAAATCTGATGTGAATAGATGAAGTCAGCTCTTTTGGGGAGGCAAAGGAGCATTTCTCTATCTTACCAATCTAATAGACATTATGACTCCTATACAGAAATCGGCCCATTTACACATATGGACACTATCTGCTGATCTACCTAAATCAAGGAAATTATTTTAAGTTATTATAACTATTGAAACAATTGATTTAACTTGAGATAAACAGAATAAAACTCCAAACCAAAGGAATTTAACTTTGCTGACAGTCAAAGTCAACCCACCAAGGTTCTTACAACACAGGTGCCATACATGCATGCAATTTACTCATGGCAAGAAGTAATTTAATAAATCGATGATGTGTGAGTGCTTATAAATTTTTGTTCACAAATTCATGCATAGAAAAAATACTGTATTTCTTAATTTTTAAAAAAATCATCTTAAGTTTGACTTTGAACCCCTATCCCACCAGAATGGTCATTCTTGGGTTTCCTCACTTCGTGGTTTGGTGTAAAGACCCTCACATCTTAGATAGCACCTAGGGCCTGAGGAGCCTCCACAGGTCTTAATTATTCATCTATACCTATTATTTTACATAGTGCTTTTTGCAGCATGCTTAGGACTATGCACCCTCTGGTAAGTTTGGAATCCTTGCCCTTTGGGGTCTTGCTCCATTGGTGGAGGATACATCAGAGAGCACAGTGAAGGGCACAGTGACCCAAAGGGCACTCTTTCCATGTTTTCCTCAAAGGCCCTTCCCTCTGCTTTCCTAAATATCATGGGCATAATTGTCCCAGTGCTCTTAGGTTTTGACAACCAAAGCTACCAAGGTAAGTGTTCTTTAGGCTTCTGCATTCTGCATTACCATGAACATTTCTCTAAGACAAATCTTCTTAGAAAGGGAAGAGAGAGGAGGGTATGCTGGATGCAAAGCTTAATTTCTTAAAAAAAATGTCCTGCATATATTTTTAAATATTGATTAACCAATATATTGGTTTTAATAGTCCTCCACTACCTTGAGTTCATAGTCAAGTTCATGTTCAAGTGGCCTACAGCACACATATAATTTGCTAAATCTGTCCAGCAAAATGCATCATCCTTTGCATAATCAGGCATTGATAGATGTGTCTAAAAGACAACATATTTTGTCACAATCATGCAGAAAATTTGGAAAAGCTGAACAGGGGCTGAAATCTCCACCTTTTTTTGCAGGCATTTCTTCAGAAGTCACAATTAAGAGAAAAAATTAAAGCTTGGGAGTCCAATGGTTAAAAATGTAAATTAACGTCTTTCCAATGATACAGCCAACTTTCTGATATGAAGCATGGTAACCATCCTTTTTCACACTAAGGATAACTGGCAAGGGCCTTGGTAATGTTCTTCTATAGGAACAGTGAAGAGGGGGTATATATACTATTGGTTTCGTCAGCAGTAAGCTGTCTTCCTTTTATGATTCCAATGCTCATCTAAGCCTAAGGAATTACCTTCTTCCTTTCTTTCTGTGAAACTATCTAATCACATAGCTATCTTTCTCTCTCCAAACTTCCTTCTTGCTTCCAAACAGGGGCTGTATTGTGACATCCGTCAGCTGGTCCAGTTTATCAAAGAGGCTCATGGGAATGTCTTCAGGAGAGTAGCCCTCAGCGCATTGCTTGACAGTGCTGAGAAGTTAGCACCAGGGAAAAAGGTGGAGGAGAATGAACAGGAATCTAAACCTGCAGGCAGTAAAAGGTTGGAAGCTTGAGCTCTCTGAATATTGGCATCTGCATTGCGTCAGTTGAATATAATCTGTTGTATTGTCTATTGTGGTTCCTGACATGATGTAACTTCGGCACAGGAATGGTAAAACTATCTTGTGTGATTGGTATCACTGGTGTGGTCCAGGAATAATTTTACTGTCAACTAAATGCTCCTCTGTATGAATCAGAGCTCAGTTGTTCCTGAACTTTCATATATTTGAACTTCACTTCATAACTATAAATTATGTGGTAAAATGTTATTTCTATGTTTGAGTCACTTCTCTACATAATTTACATTTTTATCCAAAAAGGAAAAGCAATTACTGATATCATATCATCCTGTTCAGTAAGTGATATTCTAAATGTGGCAAAAGACAGATTGTTGAGCAGTACCATGTTGTTTTTCCTTCTAGTAAACATATTTCTATGCCTATTATATATTAACTTCCACTTATGGAGATTAAAAGAAACTACAATTAAAATCCTGCTTGCAGTTAATGACTCGGTTTGCAATAAGGATGATGTTGTTAAGCAATAAGACAGCTAAGTCATGAGTTAAATGGTAGGTTATTAATTCCATGCAACATAGACTCATGGTGACATAATGTTTGCAGGCCATATAGGTTGTCTGTAACGGAATGCTTTGCTTTTACGAAGCAGATAAAGTATTAAGAATTGGTGTCCTGCTCTGTTGTAATTGAGGAATGCACAATTTGCATAGGTCAGAGGCGGGAAGCATTGTGGATAAAGGCCAGGTGTCCTCTGCACCTGAGGAATGTCGCAGCTTCATGTCTGGTCGCCCCTCACAGACTCCAGAGCAGTAAGTAGCATTGGTCTTGCCTCCAACACAGAGGGCTAAACATTTCACACTGGAAGAAGTTCTATTTTCCAAACTGCTATTTGTTTTCATGTTGGTTTTTCATTTCCTTTGACCTTTGCCTTGCTTCTGCCCTTTACATTTCATTCCCAATGCCACTAATCTCTCCAGGCTGAAGTCACAACCAACCAGCCTGTGTCTACAAGAAGCCTCCCTAACGACATTTTCCATCTCCGGTCTCTTCTCCACTTCTGCTTTTCGTGCACACTCCTGCAAAAGAATCTTGACAAATAGCATATATATTAGGTGGAATGGGGCTGTCATCTACTTTCTTGCTTAAAATCACTTATAAATATTTTTTATTTAAATGTTTGAATGGCTGTCAACGATCTTGATAAAGCTTTTCTAAAAAGAAATAATAGAAACTTCTCTAGTGCTCAGTTTTAGCTGAAACATAGTCTCTATTCTGTTGCACCTGCCGCCTCTCCTGAGATCCAGTCCAATGTCCTCTGACATCTGTTAATCTCCACTTTGCACAATGGCAAAATCAAAAACATCTTTAAATTAGTGTCCCCAGAAAATTTAAGGGTTACTGTAGACACTAAATATACAACCTAATTCTATGCAAGTCTCATTTATATTTATTCTCCTTTTGAGAACTATTAACACACAAGTGGAATGATCAATATTTATTTATCATTTTAGGTACACTGTTCTGCTTCCCAAAAACCCAATTCAGTATTAAATGATTGTTCTTCCAGGAACTCTGCAGGGTGTTCAAGGTATAAGATTTTATGTTATTTTTTCTTCATAGTCAGGGAAATCAAAGCTGAGAAGCAAACAGCCATTAAACAGGGCCTTGGTAACCCGCAGCAAGCAAACAAAACCTTTGAAGAACAAAAAGCCCACACAGTTCTTGTAGAACTTCGAAATCTTAGAGACTGACCTTAAATGGGTAGGGAAAGGTGAGGAGAAAGCAGATAAACTCTGTGGGTCCAGGGACCCTGTGTGGTTTGGCTTACTGTAATTACCCCAATACCAAAATGGGGCTTGGCCCATAGTAGGTACTTATATATATTTTATGAATGAATGAATGACTCAATCAATCAAAGAAAGGGTAAAATTGTCAGATTATCATTAAGCTTTTGTTTTCTTTAACTTTCTCAAAATTGAATTTTAGTTTTTCTTTTAAGGTAGCCATTAGGGACATGGTAAAAATCCAAACATAAGCTCTAAGGAAAACAAAATCAATGTGAAATACAAAGTTCTGTGGCTGGATAACCACAAGACGAGTTAAAAGACTTTATACACAAAGTCTACCCAAAAAAAGGAAAGAATTTTTTCCCAAATAGCACCAGCAAGTATTAAAGCTAATTTGATCAATGAAAATGACCTAATAGGCAAATTGGATTTAAAAAATAAAACCATCTACTATATCTTTATAGGTGATTAAGTTTTCTAAATTCCAAAATATTCTTTTTGTTCACTGTGCTATAAACACCACCTAATTTTTCAGCATTTAGCACACGTCTATTCCTTCTCCTTCCATGAAGATATATGTTTTAATATGCCTCTACAAAAATATTTCCACTTAGAGGGATGTCATAAAATGTCAAGTGTGGGACTTTCCCATTGATCCAAGTAGCCCCAGGAGGTAAGCATGTCAGATGTCCTCTGTTTAGCACTGGAGAAAGGTGGGTGTCACTTTGGACAATCCTAGTTCCTCCTCTACTTTCTTTCTCTTTTCTTCCCTCCTCCCTTCCTGCCTTATCTCTTCTCCATCTCCCTTCTTAAATAGTCATATTACCTGACTAATACTAAAGTGGTTTTATGCACTCATTTCTCTGAAACTTATTATTGATACACACCGTTGGACAAAGCTGGTGTAACATTTTATTGAAAAAGATGATAAATTATAGCCTACCTGGATGTTTTCCCACCCAGACCACATAGTCATACACTCATCATGTGTCATGTGTCCCCCAAAGGTGAGAAATGCTTCAGACCCTGTGCTCATTTGGTAAAATGTAGCTGAAAGGTCATATTCCAGAAAACTGATTTAAATTCATACCATATTTGATAAAAATGTCCAGTTTAAAATAAATATCAATAAATATTCAGTACTCTGATGAGACTTTGAGAGGTAAAATCTGGATCCCGATATAAATATCTCCAGGAAATGATTACCATACATGGTACTGTCAAATTTTAGGTCAATTCAGAATTCAGCCCCAAAGCTTATAAGCAAATCATTACCTAAAACCCTATAAATAAATTTCATCGCATGTTGCTAAAGTATTTTCTATAACCTTTCCTTTTCAAATTACTAAAGTAATATATGTTACTCAAGCTGACAAATGTGGAAAACACAGAAAAGTATAAAGGGAAAGTAGTTTAAGAATCAAAATACCGCTAACTAGAGATAAGCTCCATAAATTCTTGGTATATTATGTTGGGTACATTTTTGAACATATGTACATAGAAAGCACACTCAGACATATGGTCACATGTGTACTTTTGAAAAAAAATTAACCTAGTGTTACCCCATTTAAACCATTTGATCACTGCCTTTTAACTTTGCCATATATAATGAACATCTTCCATATCGATGGTCTTCTAAAATAAGGTTTTAATAACTACAGAGGATATCATTGTATGTGAATCCCATAATTTATTCAATTGTTTCCTGAATGTTGAACACTTACATTGTTTCCACTTTTTCAATATTGACCAAGAATATCTCAGTAAGTATTTGACCTTCTTGTATAATATCTATATCTTAGTATGTTGTCCCATCATTTCTTTGAGATTACTTCCCAGAAATTGAATTTCTCTGTCAAGGGTGCTGATATAGGCTTTGGATAATATATTACCAAGTTACCTTCCAGAAAGTTTGAATCATTCTACCCCACCACTGGCAGTATGATAGCAAACATTGCCTTCTTTCCCCAACACCCTTAATCTTTGCCGATATTGTGAGTGAAAATAGAGATCTCATGTCAACTGACTTCTTTTTATTCCTAGGGAGATTAAACTCTCCATATTATTGGCCACTTGTCTTTTTCCCTTGCGGAATGCCCTGGTCAAAAATTCTATTGCAGGTGTTCTTATTTGTCTTATTGAGTTGTACTTATATTTTACTTTTAGACCCTATTTAAGTTTCTTTGGCTTAATTGCTGTAAGATGATGCATTTCCTGGGCATGGCGATGGCATTTCATTTATTTATTCATTCAAATATTTTTTGTAAGTTTATTTAGTGTCAAATATGATATTATACTGGGGTGGGAAGTGGGGAATGAGGAACTGTGCTGCACAAGCCCCAGAGAGCTTTTAAGAATATTTACTGACATTTTAAGTGCTTCTGCTACAGGTGAATACCTGCAATAATATTTAATCTTTTTTATTAAAGTTGAAAAAAAATGACAACCTCAATTTGATAGCTGAGCCAGGACTGTTTTCAAGAAGAGCTCAGAGGGTCAACCTTGGTGTCCCTCCTCCACTCTCACCCACTCTTCCCACATCCCAGCTCATCAAAGATCATTCTGCACGATTTGCCTAAATGTCATTGGCAGGAGATTCAAAGAAATTTAGGAGAATTTCACATGTGCTGTAGGACACTTAACCCTGTCCTCTGCTTGCTTACAGTGATGAGCAAATGCAAGGAGGCAACCTGGGGAGGAAAGATTTCTGGCGCAAGATGTTCAAATCCCAGAGTGCGGCAAGTGACACCAGCAGCCAGTCTGAGCAGGACACTTCAGAATGTACCACTGCCCATTCAGGGACTACCTCTGATCGGCGTGCCCGCTCACGATCCCGCAGAATTTCCCTCCGGAAGAAGCTTAAACTCCCCATAGGTAAAAGTATGTCTGTATTTATTTATGGATTCTCTTTTTACCTACCATGTCCTCAAATCAACTCATAATCAAAACAGCAATGCATGGAAGGGTAAAGAAAGAGAAAGCCTTCAAGTCACAAGACCTGGGCTGACTATTTCATTCATTCATTCATTCATTCATTTCTTTTTACAGGTATTTCTCAAACCCCTACTATGTACCTCCCCTGCTAGGCATCAGGGATTAAATAGTGAGCCAAAACATGCAGTCCCCCTGCCCAACTTTGCTGAACTTGCAGTCTAGCAGAAACCACAATCATTAGGGCAGATAATCCTACAACTAAGTATAGTTGCAAACTATGAATTTTATGAAGGTAATAGACATAGTGCTATGAAAGCATGCAACAATGAGAATGACTTAAATGGGGGGAGGATGTAGGAATCAGGAAAGGTTTCTGGAGGTGGTGACATTACGATCTGCGTGATACTTAGGAGAAAGAAGAGGAAAGCACTCCAGGTGGCAGTATGTGCAAAGGTATTAGGATGGAGGAAATTGCAAGAACTGAAATGAGGGGACGAGTGGCTGCATGACTGTGGTAGAACAATAGGGGCCAGAGCATGTGAGGCCTTGCAGTGCAGTTTGGCTCTTCCTCCTACATCCCTAGATAGCTAAGGTGAGATGTTGAACAGGAAAGTAATACAGGCAGGTAAACTTTTCCTGAAAGACCGCTGCACGGAAATCATGTAGGAGGGAGCATGTGTAGATGAGGGAGATCAGATAGAAAGCTGTCCCATAGTCCAGCTATAATTCAATGGAAGCTTGGACTGGGCTGTAACCATGTAGACAGAAGTGGACGGATCTGAGAGACATTTAGGAGGTGAGATGTGAAAGTTGTCAAGGATAACTAGATGGATTGTGGTTTTGTTCACTGAAGAGAATCAGATTCTTTTTGTCCTGGACTACTAGCTCATGTAATTTTATAGTCTAATACTGAACAATTTGATTCAAAGCATGTACATTGAAAACAATTTGTTTTCACTTCTATTTATATCAAGCCATTTAACTTTCATTGTTAGGAACATGTTGACTTTTTTGTTTAATACTTTTGGTAGAAAGTGCTCTATCATTCTAATTATTTTTAATCTATTAAATAGGAAACTGGTTGAAACGATCCTCCCTCTCGGGCCTGGCAGATGGAGTGGAGGACCTCCTGGACATCAGCTCTGTGGACCGACTGTCTTTCATCAGGCAAAGCTCCAAGGTAAACAGGACATTACTTGTGTAAGGGAATGTTGAGTGGCTCATAGAAAAATGTCAGGGCTGGGAAATGCTGAACACCTGGAGGGGCCAATAAGGAAGAGCTGAAGAAACTCTTGAGTTTGTTAGATGAGCAATGGAAACTAAAATGCTGAAATAGTAAGCTATCATAGGAAGGAGAAAAGAAAAAGTGTGGCAAAAAATTACATAATATAATGGAGATACAGAGATATACATAGGCATTATTTCTCAGTTGTTTTTAACTTTTAACATATACGTGAATTTACTGACATCCTAAACCCCTATCCAAGGATCCAGTAATTCTATAGTGACTCCTTTTACATATTTACACCATTCATCCTCCTTCCATTACTTTTGGCATAATCTGAACCATTCTCCTTATTGAAAGGAATAAAGAAACTCAGAATAACTTTTTTCACTAAATGCTCCTTCATAACACTGTCAAGCATGGTAACAGCATAGGATTTGATACAGGTAATGATTCTCAGTGAAATACATTCCCTACAAGAGTCCTTCCCTGTGGATGATTCATGATCTGGTCACTTGTACACCTAAGTGTCAGCATATGATAAGAGTTAGTTTCTTTATATGTATAAAAATTATTTGCTTCCACCCTATTTTGTGAATCTCACTAAAACCAGTTTCCTTCTGTCTAGTCTGTTTTAAAACTAATATTCTGAAATTATAAAAATAATATAGCAAGATCATATTTATATGTTTATAATTCCTTCCTCACCTTCTTTTTGCTAAAAAAAAATTGGTCAAGTATTTGTGTTTGTGTGGCCTATAGCTTCCTTGCCATGCTGAAGGTTTTGACAACTGTTGACCTAAAGGCAAGATGAAGAACACATTTTAATTCTTAGAAAGAAAATCATGTTATTGCACTTCAATTATAGTACACTCTATAAATTACTTTATATTGATTCTTTCACAGAGATGTAAAATATTCTATTGGGCTATCTTGCACTTTGGCCTGATTCTCAATTGTGGTGTTATTCATAAAGGCTAAATATGGCTTGCTGATCATGAATTTGAGTTTGGACTTTATCTTATTTTAACTCTAAGAATATCCCAATTATTTTTATAGCACCTGATTATTTAGCTTTCAACCTATGACCTGGATCTTTTTTCTATAATAGTGATGTCTTTTTTGGCACATGGGAATGAACTACACTGACTAAACTAATCAAATGTGAAGCCAGAGAATGAAGTAAACTTCATGTTCTAAACAACTTATTTTTCAAGTCAAGGATTAGTCTAACCACAAAAATTTGCTTTTGAATTTAGTTATCTGACTACTTTCCTTTTTTGTCTCAGGTCAAATTCACCAGTGCTGTGAAGCTTTCCGAAGGTGGGCCAGGGAGTGGGATGGAAAATGGAAGAGATGAAGAGGAGAATTTCTTCAAGCGTCTTGGTAAATGTCATGCAGCCTAAGAATTCCATTCCGCTTTCATCACAGAACACAAATTTAATTAGATTAAATGATCTGTTTTCTATTTCTGTTGACTTTTCATTCATTTCTTTTTCCATACATGTCTTTTACTACTATCTATAGATTCTCTGTTTGTTATCAGTGTGTTCAACAGACATTTATGGAAGCCTGGCTATGTTCCTCACTCCCTGGTGGGCACTGGCTTTGCAAAGAATAAGACAGCTTCTGCTGCTGTTCTATCCTTTATTAAAATCTAAGAGCTTTACAAAACCTTCAGAGATCCTTTATCCACCCACCTATCTACTTACAGATTCTGCTCATTACATCCCTGACAGGTGGCCAGCCACCCTCTACACACTTCCACTGAGGGGGAGTTTTAACTTTACAAAGCAACCTGTTCCAGAACTAGACAGCTTTAATTATTAGAAAATCTTTCCTTACATTCAGAAAATATATTTATCCATAAATTTGATTCATTTGTCCTGGTTGTGCCACTTGTACCAACATGCGTGCACACACACACACACACACACACACACATACACACACACACACTCTCCCTCTCTCTCTCACATGCACATATAATGCTAGCTCCATATATATTTCACTTCATGTTCTCTCTTTTAATCTTACTGCCGCTGGTTAAGTATCTTTGGCTTCTTTGGTTTTCCTCACATGTTTCTAGATCCATTACCATTCTGATTCCTTTTTACTATGTATTTTACTTATGTAATGTGTTTTTGTTTTTTATTTTTTTGTTTTTTTACAAAATGTGGAACTTCAGGTGAAATGCAATATGCTATATTTGAAATTAATTAGTGTAATAGATAGTATAACTATTAAGCTCCAGGAATATAGCAAGTGTATGAACACAATTGAAAATAACATTATTTATTTTCACATCACATAGTGGGTTTGTAATGATTAACTTTTGCCGGCTCTTCTTCACATGAATGAATATCAGGTATATGTTGATGAGGCCATTATTAGTTCTTCATTTCATAAATAATTAAAGTTGTTTATTTCGTTAACTTATGGCATAGTTAGGTCACTAACCTAGGAAGGAAGTTAAGAGGCAGAACCCAAACCAGGTTGAATTCTCAATTTTTTTTCTTATTTGCAATTGTGCTATAAAGATCCCTCTGCAGAGACATACACACTTCCCTGTTTTTTTCCAAGTTGTTCACATTACTACTGAACAGGACTAATACGAAGATACAACTCCAAGAACAATTCTAGTTGACTTTGATAGATTAACAATTTGTGGGTACAGTTTTGCAGCCAACCATACATTTAATTTACAAGTGACAGCATTCTCCCATCTCATTAAGAAAATATCATCAGACTTGACCAAAAAAAGTATCAGCGATACCTTTATAACTCTATCAAAAGGAAAAATGTGGCTTAGTTAAACATGATGTTATTCTTCATGAAGCTACAGTGGTTCCTATGATTAGCTTTGTCTTTTTAAAATTTTCCTGTCTATTTAATTATCTCTTACAGAATTTGGCTAGGGCAGACATCAGGTTTATTAGTCTGTGGTTTTAAGAATCTTCCTAACAACCAGGCCCTTTGTCATTTTCAGTCCTTTTACACTCTTTTCACTTCTCGTGATATTTCAGAGACAATGCGTCTATTGTTCAGAACTGTCACTATCATAAAGAGATTTTTGTTGCATTTTTTGAGAATAACGTATGGGACTAAAGTGTGTTCTCCAGGTATGTGCCATGCTAGCTGGATGTTATTTGAGTGGTGATGTAATGACATCTCTAAGTTCTTTTTATGCACTGGAGTGTAATTTGATGGAACTGAGGCTTAAATTCAAACAGTGCAGGATCTCTCACATTTGGTGAATATTCCTTCTTAATGACCCTTTTCTGTTTGCTATGAATTGAATTTTTGTGTCCCCCCCAAAATTCATATGTTGAAGCTCTAATCCCCAAAGTTGTGATATTTGGAGGTGGAGACCTGGGGAGGTGATTTGGTTTAGATGAGGTCTTGAGGGTAGTGCCCATGATGAGATTTTTATGCCCTTGTAAAAAGAGGAAGAGATATAAGATCTCTCTGCATTCACACATCAAGGTAAGGCCACCTGAGGACATAACCAGGAAGAGAAATGTCACCAAGAACCTGACCATGCTGGTACCCTGATCTCAGGCTTCCAGCCTCCAGAATGTTTGTTGTTAAGCAACCCAGTCTGCGGTATTTTGTTATAACAGTCCTAACTTACTTGAGCACTGAACTTTCCCATTTGTGGATTTTTCCCCTTGGTGGAAAAGATGGAAGTGTAATTGAGTTGCTTACTCTCCTTTTGATTCCCTTACATTAACTTCTTCAAGTAATAAGCCAGTATTTCTACTCTTATTCTTGTTCCAAACATGTTATCATTAGCATTCTCATAAACCTTAGTTCATCCTGGATTTTGTGTTTTTCTCACCATTATTCCTACAGATTTTAGTCATTGTTTCATATACTCTTTATATTCCATTCACAAATAGAATGGAATATTAATAAAGCCAGGTTCTAGGATAAGTTTGTGTCAGCAATACCTAAAATACAGGCAGTCTCTTTCTGCATGTCTAGAAAACAAAACCATAATACTTGAGATTGATATCTGAAATATTTTATGTACTTGTGGGTGGCAAGAGAATTTAGCTTTATATACCACATTCTTTGCCTATGTTCTCTGGCTTGTTAAAAATTATAAAAGGTATTCTGTTAGATAATGACTTTGGAATCTCTTGGAAAGATAGGTATCTCCAGCTATGCTAACTGAACCAAAACAACATTATTTGCTAATCTAGGTATGTTGTATTTTGCAACAACTACTGCCTTTGATCATGTGCACATCTTTCTGTCTTTGGGCCTAATTTTGTTCTTTCTTTCTTTTCTTGTTTCCTTTGCAATCTATGTGTATAAATAATCCCTATGCATCCGTGATAGATGTGTTGTCCTTTCTTTCTCATTTAAATTATTTTTTTGCATTTTTTATTTTTTAAATTTTTATTTTTAATTATTATGAATAATTACAAAATTGCTTTGTTTCTTTCTTTAAAGTTGTTAAAGAAAACAAACATTATTCTTACCTTCAATTCAAATGTAGTACCTGAACTTCACTGAGTTAAAATAAAATGCCATAGAATTTCTTTAAAATCTAAAAAATTATTCCACAAATGAAAAATGTATCTGGTGAACATTTAATAGAATTAAAATGACATTTAGAGATCAGCTATCTTTTTCTTCTGTGTTTTCATAGTCACTGAAATTATTTCATTTTAGAAATCATGTTGTGTCTCTGAGGGAAGATATTTGATTAATTAAAGCAACAGGTTTTCTTTTAAACCAATCAACAAATCTATTGCATATCTTCTATGTGTTCAGCTCTGCCATCAACTCAATGAACAATGCTGCTTAAAGAAATATTATATTTGGTCTATCTGAAATTCTGTACCCGTAAATGTACACAATAATGTTTTGTGTCTCTTTAAAACATCCCCCACTCCCTTTGGAGAACTAGGACCTGCATCCCCGACTCAGGCCATTGGTCCAGAGGGGCAGGGGAATGTCTTTTGTTCTTTGTGCCCCAGGAGATGGCTCAAGGGAATTATTTGGGTGGAGATCACAGTCCCAAGGTTGTTTTAGCCAAAGATGGGATTGATCAGAACCTTTAAAAGCTCTGTACTTCTGCTCAAAAGGAGGACGTTGGTACTTTGAGACAGGTGTCAACCAACCTCCTCATTTGCTGGCAAATTAATAAACTCTTTCCTTCTCAAAAAAACAAAAGGATTTGTCAATAAAAATAATATTTAAAAAATAAATACTAGATTTTGAAACATCCCTTCTTGGATGTAATAGCTTACAAAAATGCATTCTATGTAAATTATACCTCAGTAAACCTGATGTAAAAAAAAAATGTTGAGCAAATGCAACTAAAATGTACTGAAGCTGGCCAGGCGCGGTGGCTCACGCCTGTAATCCTAGCACTCTGGGAGGCCGAGGCAGGTGGATCATTCTGAGCTCAGGAGTTCGAGACCAGCCTGAGCAAGAGCGAGACCCCGTCTCTACTAAAAAATGGAAAGAAATTAATTGGACAGCTAAAAATATATGTAGAAAAAATTAGCCGGGCATGGTGGCGCATGCCTGTGGTCCCAGCTACTCGGGAGGCTAAGACAGTAGGATTGCTTGAGCCCAGGAGTTTGAGGTTGCTGTGAGCTAGGCTGACGCCACGGCACTCGCCCCAGGCAAGAGAGTGAGACTCTGTCTCAAAAAAAAAAAAAAAAAAATGTACTGAAGCTAAAAAAGTAATCATTATGTCCAAGAAAGCCAATAGGCATTCTTACATCCTAGTATGTTTATATAAGAAATTGATAAAGAAGAAGATATTTGGCAGCCAAAAAATTGTAAAATATAAAGGAAATAAATTATAAAATATTTCATACAGTATTGGCACATACTAAGTGCTCAAAAATAGGAGTAAAATTATACTGTTATCTATTGAGGCTATAAAATAGAATGGAAATTTTCCATTATAAGTAGCTTTTATTTATAACATGATGCTTATGTTCTGTGCTTATAGGATTCTGCTGATCTTCTCACCCCTAGTAAATGTACATCATTCTGTGAAGCAAAGAACATAGGTGCTTGCTGACAAAGAGTGTTTTGATCACTTCTTTCTTCATTATTTTACTTACATTTCTTAACTGTGTTATTTCTGAAGTTCTTTCAATCAAGATGGCACTGCCTTTAGTAATATTGAATACATTTCTTTTGAAATTAGTCATCTTGTCAAATAAATATTGAAGAAAATGGTGAAATACGTATCCTTAATGCTTCCCTTAATTAAATGATGACAACTGTTTTTAATAAATTGGATAAATAAGAATAACTTTATTGATCATCCATCCTGTCTTATGTATTGCTTCTATTACGAATTTGAGACAGTTATCACCTAATGTGTTTTAAATCTTAATTATATTAACAAATAATAAAACAACTGGATTCAGTACAAAGAAAAATAAAAAAATCTTATTTGAGTTCTATCTCAAATTCGAAGTTTAAGGGACTATTAAGTTGATATATTTTTTTTAACAGATGAAGATCCTCTGATATATGTAACTATTAAAGGGCTATAGGTAAATGATTAATAAGGTGACATATAGCTATGAAAACATCAAGAATTTACCTGTTCTAGTAGCTTTGGTAATGCCCAGTGAGTAAATAGAGTAGCATTTTGAAAGGGAGCTGTCTGAAAACAAGGCTGTCCTGGAATTATTAGTTCCTCATCTGTAGCTTTTCTTTGTATCATTTGAGATTCTGTCTTTTGAAATTTTCCACCATCAGATTTTTCTTGTGATACTTCCTTTTGCATTTGATACAAAACATGCTATACTCACTGGAAAAAAAAAAAAAAAACACAGTAAAGAGAGTGGCTCAGTTGATCCCAAATATCCATTACCCATTTGTAATGATGATCAAAAATTTGCCATATTTTCTCCATCTATCTTTTATGGTTTTTAAAATGTGGTTTAAAACAAATCCAAGACATCATGTTATTCCATACCTACATACTTCAATATGATTCTGAGTCATTGTGAAAGTTGTAGACCAAGAATTTCTAATTATTTTTATGCCATGCCATAATTTTGTATCTGGTAATAAAGTCTAAAGGAATCTGTGCCCCAGGCTTAAACTGCTTCCAAAGTCTGTTTCCTAATGGAGTAGGTACATACCTTTTTCCACAACATCCCTGTTTGTGACACACTGTCATGGTATACCAAGGCCCATGACTGTAAACACCCCTTTTAATCTACCACCAATGCAAATTATTAGAAGGGTAACCCTAACCCTGGATTTGATCTTTAAAAGCAAATTTGCAAACATTAGTGTTTATTAATAGGAACAAATAATTCACCATACATCTTGCAACCACCAATGCTGACAGACTTGTGTGTAGGACACCTCAGTTGAGAGCTATGGACACAAGAGCCACCCTTGCTCTAAGACAGCAGGTGGGAAAGTGGGGAAGTGGGGAGTTGGGGGCAGAGGGAATCAGAGTATTCTTGACAGAGGAGGTGAGAAAGCCATTTCTAGAAATCAGATCTGAGACTTCTCAGAAAGGCCCAGGTGTTGGTAACACCTCAAATAAACGATAATAGCACAAATTAAGCCAACCTCTAAATCAGTGATTCTCTTCCTAGAGGTATATTCTTGGATATTGGAGGAACATTTCAGACTCATGAGAAGGGGCTTAGGCCTGGTTTTAAAAACTATATTCAATATTTTAATGATATATAATAAAAATGAAGAATGTACTAGAAGCTTTAGAAAATCATGAGATACTTAGATTTTTAAAAATGTGCCTGAGGATTTTTTTAAAAAGATGAAAAATCAATACTTTGTATGATTCTTCTTCAAGTGGATCCGTAGACTTTCTGCATCAAAATCATGTGGAGTGTTTGATGAAAATACACGTAGCCCCCAGACCTATGGAATCAAAATCTCTAGCAAAGGATTATTAATATTTTATATTTTAATAAGCTCCAGACTGATTTTAAGCCATAAACAGCTTAATTACAGAAAAATAAGAGGGGAGGGATTAGTGGCTCCCAAACTTTGGGCCTCAGGGCTAGGTCAGGCTAGCTGCATCAGAGTCAGCTGGGAGGCTTCACAAAATAAAAATTCTTACACCTCACCTCAAGAAACTCTGAGGGACTGGATGAAATTCAGGAACTTCCCAAATAATTCTGAGGCACAGCCAGGTCTGGAAATCCTAGAATTAACTGACTAACCTTTAAGGTACTTTACAATTCTAATAGTCAGTGATTCTTTACATTGTCACTGAGAAAAGGTTTTTGATTTCACTGTAACACTGTCTTTCATAACAATTTATTATAACAGACCTGAAATTGCACAGGGATTGCATCTTCCATAAAAACAGAAGTTAGTTGTTGATTCCAGGAATAATCATTTTAAATATACCAACAGCTCTTACTAGTATTCATGAGGAGACCTGGTAGTAAGTAAGACGATCAGATCCTACATTTAAAGGTAGGTAATACCCTACATTTTCATATACCATGTGTCACCAGATTCCCAAAAGTCAGAATGTGCTCAAATCAAGCATTAGGGTCGAGAGGAAGGAAGTAGAGTGAGGGAGAAAGTTTTAGGCCAACAATATAGAAAACACACTGTTATATCTTTGAAGCTCTTTTTAAATCTGTGATCCATTACACTCTCTCTGTTTCATTCCTCCACCACGGCACCACCCCGACAGGTTGCCACAGTTTCGACGACCATCTTTCTCCCAACCAAGACAGTGGAAAAAGCAAAAACGTAGTGAATCTTGGAGCAATCCGACAAGGCATGAAACGCTTTCAATTTCTGTTAAACTGTTGTGAGCCGGGGACAATTCCTGATGCGTCCATCCTGGCGGCCGCCTTGGATCTAGTAAGTTGTCTGAAGAATTTGCCCACTCTGTCCCCCATCCCAATTAATACAATTAATGGAGGTAAGCATGAATCCCTAATCCTAACCCTAACTGCGGGGTTATTTATTTTTTCTCAGAATCAGTGGTAAAAGGGGAAAGAAAGGTGGTGAGGTGAGAGAAGAAAAAAAAAGGGAGGAAAATCTTATTTCATAAGTCTTGAGAGGTAGACTGTATAGCAACATAATTAAAGGTATGTGAGAGTGCTGGAGTCAGACCGCCTGAGTCAGAATCACAGTGACATTTGTTGGCTGAACCTCTGTACAATGAGAGTAAGAGCAATAATAATAGTAGATCTACCTCCTAAGGTTGTTGTGAGAATTAAATATGATATTAGATATAAAGCCCTATCACAATGCCTGAAATATACTCAATAAAGTAGGCCATCATTGTATTATTATTAGCCTTATTTTTGCCATGTATTAGTCTTTTAAACTCTTGAGTCTTGGTTTTATTACCTATCAATTGGAGGAAAAATATGAAGCAAGTATCAGTAAAAACAAATTGTACGGAAGCACTTTGAACATTGTAAAGTATTATACACATGAAAGGTATTAAAAAATATAAAGTGGATCTTATTTAGAAAATGTTTTTGTCAGGTAAACTAGGCCCACATGTGACTTTTGAACTCAGTCTCTCAATTTCCTTTGTTTATCTTTTGGTTTATACACTCGTCACACATTGTCTAAACACTGGGCACAAAATACCAAGTAATTGTCAAGACATGAACGTCTTTGATTTTCACTTTTAAGAAAGAAAAATTAAAATAGATTTTTATTGAAACGAAAACCTCTAAGCCTGCCTGTAAGTGATCCCTTTTCCAGATTTTATGACACATGAGTAAGTGACCACTGGTCATTCATTTTATCTTGAAAAATCACCCAAACCTTAAGATGTAATTCATGAAATTTCTCTGTGACATTTGCAGCCTTTGCTGTCAGGATACTTAGTATGTGGCTTCATTTAAGGCTGAAATATAAATACCACTCATCACCCAAAATGATGACTTGCCGTTATATGAGACTTTTTAGTCAGTTTCCCATTGTTTGGATATTGGCCTTTGCAAATTTTTTTTAAATTGCAAATTTGTTCAATGTTTATTGATGTATGCTAGAGATGACTGGAAAAGGTAGAGCATCACAGTCTCCAAGAGAACTGGGGCCAGTGGCAGTTAAACAATCGAAGAACAGTAAGGTATCTGTCTAAAGCAAGAGAGCTTAACAAGGCAAGTAGCCAATCCTTGTTTCCTAGGTGGGAGAGTGGAAACAAGCCTGTCACTCCTTTGAGTCATACATGGTTCTTCTTAATCACAGCTTGATCTGTTCTGCAAAGGAGCATTTTAAAATAAATAAATGTAACAAATTCATAAGAAAAGGACAATTAAATATTTAAAAATGAATAAATATGTGAACAGCTAGTTCACCAAAAATACTAGTAGTCAATAAAGTAGGCCTCATCTTCCTTGCATGTAATAGATGCTTTGTTAATCTACAATTAACAAAATAAAAAAAGAAGCATATATTAAAATATCCACAAATGCCTTTTTTGTATAACTATCAGATTTGCAATGGTTAGAAACTGTTTGTAAGGATATGAAATATCAGATGCATGGTGCCAGCCATGGTGTAAGCAGCAGGATTTGGTTAGGGAACAGAAGGAAGTCTTGGGCTAACAGGGTGACAGCCAGAGCAATAATGGTGACTGGAGCACTCCTCTGCCCCTCCCTGAGTAGTAAATCAGGTGGTGGGGTGGGGGTGGGGCGTAGGTGTAGTTTCTACTTCAAATGGCAAGAGTGGTAGAACTAAAAAGCTGGTAGTCAATGTGGCTTATAAGTTACTCACCATGTAATAATTAACTAAGTCGACAAATGTCTACTGAGGGCTTCCTATGTGCCAGGCATGGAGCTAGCTACTAATGATAACACAACAAAAGTCAACTGAACAGCTTCACCAATTTTCATTTTTTCCAATGAAGATTATATTCATATAGTGACCTGTTTTCCAGACTTCTTAATACAGCATTCTAAGGTTGATAAATGATTAATATTTATTGTGTGCCTACTATGTTTCCAAAGGAAAAAATTGAAGCTCAGAAAGACCAACTAATAGGCCAGGGCTACAAAGCTAGCAAAGGGTAGAGCCAGTTTGGAACCTGGATCTGTCTTCAAAGCCTCTATATTTTGTATTTCACCATGCTGACTCTTTTAGTAAAAAATTATGTGAAATTACTTTAGGAACTTACTTTAAAACATGGAAAAATTATAAATTTTGTATTTTATGCCCAATAACTTAGATGTGGTTAAGAAAGTGAAGATGACAGAAGCAGGTTGAACAACTGTTAAATACACAATGACAATTGTGTATTGCCTTCTTACAGATGGTTTAAGCTGAAGTGCTGCAAAAGTACTGTCATATCCATCTTTATCTCAGTCCTAAAGTCATAGCTGCTTTTGGAAACTTTTTAGACAAATGAGATCAAATTTCTCAGACAATTGACTAATGAAATTGAGGTAAATTATAATAAATCATTTTATTTCCATTTGTTTAAAAATGGAGCCAAAAATATAGGCACAGATTACCATGCAAATTTGAAAATAATGGGATTATAGTAGAAAATAATAATTTTGATTATGCTTGACAGTCTATAAAGTCAAGTAAGCACTTGATGAAAGTTGACAGACTGTCCTTCACTCACTGGAAAAGTCTAGGCCCCACATTCTTTCAGAGATCCTGAAATCTCCACATAAATATGTCATCATGCCACGTTAGGGATTCTAGCAAGCAGCTTTTTTCATTCACACGTTTTCCATATGAGAGAGCAAAAGCCCCAAGAACTGAGATGAATTTTCTCAAGGTCATATGAGTTAGTTGATGTTGAAACTGGGATCAGCGCAGAATCTTTTGATTCCATTCAGGACTCTTTTAGCCTCACCATATGCTTTCTCTATAAAAAAGATGACTTAAATAAATTAGAATGAATATCTCTTTGACACATTAAAAATATACTTCAATGTATATGTTCTCCTATAATAAAGAAGATTGTTAATGACTTTTAATAGTCCAAGAAGGATCTGAATCTTCAAAAATGTTACTTATCACATGAATAATGATAAATTCATAAAAGGAAAATATAAGAGATCTTCAACTTTAAAGATTCACACCATATATTCACTCTCTAATCTAGTGTTTCTTAACACTTGTGGACATAGATTCTTTCAGAATTGGATGAAAATTATGGAAATTCTCCCAAGAAAAGTACATTCATAGGCAGAATTTTGCATTAATATCAGAAAGTTCATAAACTCCTCCCAAAACCCATACATGAAACCAAAAATATTAAGAACTCAACCTTAATTAATGCATTATCATTGGCAAAAAGAGACCCTTTCATCAAGTAATTGAAATTACTTCATTAATATTCACTGATGATATAAAACAGAAGGAAACCTGTCATAATTGCTTCCTACATGAAAGCTTTTAGGATTTATATAAGATATATGTGGATGGATGAAAAACAAGGCTTGTCACAAAGTAAGCCACACACTTAGGGATTTTAAAAATAATCCCAATAAAACAAATTAATACTGGATTCTGAATGGAGATTATTTTAAGAGTAATATTGATGAACACTTTGATAATTAAATGTCTTGAGTATTGGGATTTCATTCCCTCTCATCAAATGATTTTATATTTATCTGGTTTCCAACTGCTATACTGCTGAGAGTTTCCAAAAACATATGATATAGGACTTTCCAGTGATAGGTACACTCTATTTCTGACTGACGCTTGATTCCTACCATTAGATTGGGCTGGATCCCATTGAAAACTTAAAATTTCTTTTAAGAAATAAAGCTGTGACTGGATAGTTACTAGACCACTCAATTCTCCTCTCTCCCTTTCCTGTAACACCTACTCTGGCCTTGCTTGACCTTCTCAATCTTATAAGTCCCATGGTAAGAAATAAAATAAAGGAGCTTTTGATGCTTGTAGGCAGTGTCTTTTGAGCGTCAATGTAAAGAGGCATTTTCTGATCGTTGTAGATGTGTACTTAGGGAGTAGCCTGCATTGGGAAGTAATGAGTTCTTTGTCACTAGACTGGATCCACTGGGGGCAAACGTGCAGGAGGCTCAAGCAGTCGTTGGGTAGGAGGAGATCTTTTCATACCTGAGTCTTTGATTCAGGATCAAGGCCAAGCTGTGTGCAGAGCTCAGAGGTCAAAATTCCAGAGATCAAAATCAGTCAAAGTTTAAAGGAGCCCAGCGGTCTCCATTAACAGGCAAAGAGAGAGAATCCAGGTAGACATGGTTGGTTGATTAAAAGGCATAGGTGATGGTGGTGGTGGTGATGATGATGATGATGATGACAGTGGTGGTGGTGGTGGTGGTGGTGGTTGGCAGAGGTGGTTATAGAAGATAATAATAGTAACGTTTTCGTTATACGTAATGGTTTATAAAGCACCTTCACATTCATTACTTGAGTTGTTAGCATGAGAGCAAATGGATTAAGCCCAGATGTGAACACCAAACCCAAATAGCTGGTGAACTCTGACAAGCAGACTGAGAGGATGGGAAATGGAGCTGTATGTCCTATGTGCTTGAATCAAAGCAGCATTTGGTGTTTACTGTCATTTGTACAGGTGTGACAAGTGCAGTTGTTTGTACCTACTAATCTGGGTTAGGAGTTCCTCAGGATAACTCTAACTTTTGCAGATATTTCTGCTAAATGTATTTTCAGATTTTGTCTCTTCTGCATTTGGTTTCACCCATTATCTGATCCATCTGCTTCCTATCTTTCAGAAATACCTCAGTTTTTACATATGCTTTGTATATTTTCCAATGCATGCATGGCTTTATATATGTGTGCGTAGTATAGATAGATATGAATGTAGAAATATAGATAAGATATGATAGATAATCATGCAAATGAGGTGCAGATGCAGGTATAGATATAGACACAAAGATACT